TGATAACTGTTGAATGGATCGGAAATGTATTATAACAAGCAAGCAAACAAACAACAAAACAACAAAATAAAAAGTGCTTGAGAGTGGCCCTTAAAAGTTGTGGTCTTTCTCTGAGCAGTGGTGGTACACCTCTTTAATCCTAGTACCCAGGTGGATCTCTGAGTTTGAGGCCAGCCTGATGTACAGAGTTCCAGGACAGCCAAGGCTACACAGAGAAACCATGTCTCAAAACCCCTCCTCCCAAAAAAGAAGAAGTAGTAGTGATTTGTTAGCTCCCTTCATGTTATTGGTTAGGCCACATGTTGGAGTTGGACTGTGACTCGCCAGTTAGCAAGCAGTCATGGCGCACCTTTTTGTAACTTTCTTCTTTTAAAAATATTTTCATATTAACTAATTTTTTTTTATGTATATGAGTGTTTTGCCTGCATGTATGTAGGTATGTGTACCCACGTTTGTGCCTGGTGCCTATTGAAGTCAGAAGAGGGCATTGGACATCTGGAACTAAAATGTTTGATAGTTTTGTCTGTTTCTGATTGACTGATTCACTTAAGATCATCAAGAGTCATCTACCATTCTTTCCTTCCTTTAAAAGTGTAAATAATATTCCATGTTCCTAATCCTTTTGAATAAACTTAGTTTGGAATATTACAGGTAATTTTCCCTCTACAAAGATGGACTAGAATGATAGGATTATTTACTCTACTATGGATTTGGGCTCTAAGTCATTGTTTTTTAGGTTTTTGTTTGTTTGTTTGTTTGTTTGTTTTGGTTGGTTGGTTGTTTTTGAATGGTGGAGCTGGTTAGAACCCGAGGCCTTTTTCATGCTAGGTAACTGTTCTACTACTGAAGTATATCAGTATTTTGTTGTTGTTGTTGTTTTTATTGTGGTGAACTATTTTGACATAAACCTACCTTTTAAAAACCATTTTAAGTGTGCAGTTTAGTGTCATTAAATACATCTTTGTACAAACCATAACTGCTGTCTATCTCCAGAACATGTTCATACTACAGATTGTACTATTAAACAATAATTCTCCATTTCTTCTCTATGAATTTCAGTATTTCAGTTCCCTTGTGTTAGAGGAGTTATGATACTTTTGTACAATTGCCATATTCTTAACCTAATATTTCCAAAGTTTAGTCTGGTAATCTGTCCATCTGTCCTATAAGACCTGGTTTCGTTATGTAGCTCAGGCTGGTCTTAAACTGTGACACTCCTGCTTTAGCCTCACAGGTGCTGTGACTATGGGCGCAGCACACCTGGCTTGTTTTTTTCTTTTCTCAGTGCTGAGTTGATCCAACGGATTTTTTTTTTTATTTTTGAGAATATTATTATGTCATTTCTCCCTTCCTTTTTCTTCAGACCTTCTCATATATATACCATCCTTTGCTCTATTTCAAATTCATGGCCTCTTTTTTTTTTTTTAATTAATTGTTGTTACATGCATTTGTGTGTATTTCTGTGTATATATGCATACATGCATATATATAGTTAAATATTAGTTTCTCAGTCAGTATAATGTTACATGTATGTATGTATGTATGTATTCAGGGCTAACTATTAGTATTGGATAACTAATTGGTGAAATAGAAGACTATTTCTCCTGCTCTCAGCATTCCTAATTTGCCTGTAATTCTTTGTATAGGGATGAGGCCTCATGTGCTTTCCCTGGTCTTCTTTGACATGTCTATTGTTGAACTTGTTCATCTCATGGCTAGGCAGTCATGTTGGTGAGACTTTATGGGTGTAGCTTTCAGACATTACTAGGAGACATAATCTCAGAGAAAACTCCCTGTTCCTCTGGCTCTTATTTTCTACTCTCTCTTCCATGTTTTTATTCCCTGTGTCTTAGGTTCCAGAATTGTTTTGTAGATGCATTCTTTGGGACTAGACTCCACACTCTCCATTTTGATTGGTTAAGATTTTCTGTCTGTTGTAAAGAGAAGTTTCCTTGATGAGGGGTGAGGACTGTATTTATCTGTGGTTATAAAGACAAATATGTAGATGTAGTTAGGGATTATGGTTTGTAAGTTGGTAGTTGTAGATTCTGCTCTGAGATCCATGATTTCATTGGCCATGGGTAGTTTGTTAGTTTCCAGTACCAGACACACTTTCCTTCTTGTTGAATGGGTGTTAAGTTCATGAAAAGAGCTATTGGTTTCCAGTACCAGACACGCTTTCCTTCTTGTTGAATGGGTGTTAAGTTCATGGAAAGAGCTATTGGTTACTGCCAAGGTATGCATTCTGCTACTGCACCCTTATGGTTATTGTGTCATGCTGGTGCTGGTTGTGGTTCATAGGCATCATAGCTGTGTTGCTCTGACTATTGATTACTTTTCTCCTCAGGAAGCATGCATGGCACCTTCTGGTACCATGAAAGCTAGTCCCCAGGGAGGAGACATTCAAGTCATTTCCATCTCTAGGACCTCTGGACCCTAGGTCTAAAGTGCATGATGTCTTTAGCATCAAGGACTTAACCTTCTACCCCTAGTGGACAACCAAGGGCAATAGCAATAGCCTGTGTGTTTTGGGTGTTTCTTGATTTCTGACCAACATCTCAAAGGAAAGTTTCTCATGCCTGGTTTTTGTTATGGCTTCTTTGATTCTTGTAGGGGAAATTGTGTGCTCAGATGAGAAAATCTCATTCAAACTGTATATGTATATTTATATTTGAACTAACCTGTATTAAAAGTTTTTAGGTGAATAGTTAATTATAATTCCTTATGACATTATCAGACATTCTTACTAGTATTTTACTATCCTTCCTTGTATCCATTCTTCCTTCCTTCCTTCCTTTTTTCCTTCCTTCTCCTTTTATTTATTTACTTATTTTTGTTTTCTGAGATAGGATTTCTCTGTGTAGCCTTTGCTATCCTGGACTTGCTTTGTAGACCAGGCTGGCCTTGAACTCATAGAGCTCTGCCTGCCTCTGCCTCCCCAAGTGTAGGCATGCTCAACTCTTCTTCTGTATTTATCTCCCTCCTTCTCCCTATTTGAGACCCCACTTTGCTCTCTTTTCCCTGATCAGATCAATTGTCCCCTGGTATTTTTCTCTTTATTGTTTTTTTTTCCTCTTCACCATAGCAATGGCCCATCTTCACTTACTTCCCTGATTGTTGCAGTTACTCCAATGTAAAGATTGGATGGTAAGAGCCTCTGATGAGATGAAACAGTTGTCTTTCTGGGTCTGGAGTACGTCAATCAGTATGATCTTTTCTAGTTCCATGATTTCAACTGAATCAGCTTTTCAGAAATAAAATGGATTTGTGGTTTCACTTTGGGAAATAGGATTTATCTCTTACAAAGTAACTCTTTGGGTTAAGGGTGCAGTTCAGTAGTGGTATACTTGTTTTTCTGAGACTCACTTTGTAGACCAGGCTGGCTTCAAACTCACAGAGACCCACCTGCCTCTGCCTTCCAAATACTGACATTAGAGATGTCTGACATCATGCCCAACAGAGGTCTAGTTTTTAATGTTTTGGTGTGTCTGTTTTGAGACAAGATCTCTAGCCCAGGCTTACTTCAAATTGTCTCTGTAGTATAGAGGATGACTGAGCTCCTGCCTTCATCTCCTGAGTTCTGGGATTATAGATGTGCACCATGCCCAGTTTATGATGGTGTTGAGTATGAAACCCAGGTTCGTTATGAATGGTTGGCAAACAGTCTGCCAACTGAGTTACAGCCCCAGAATTTTTTTTTTGAAAGTTTGTAGCATAGATTATATACCTAGTCCTGTATTACAAATGCTTCCTGTTGACTGTAAGAAGCAAGTGAGAATATTGTGTTTATGAGTAAACCCATTCCCCTGGCAGAATCTTTCTGTGTAGCCCCAAATGGTCCCTGAGCCTCTCAAGTTCTGTCCATGTACAAGTAAATATATAATTCAGTACAAGTTGGAAATGATGGTGGTGGTGGTGGTGATATTTTGGTCTTTTGGGGACAGGGTTGTTTCTCTGTGTAGCCCTGGCTATCCCGGAACTCACTCTGGCCTCAGACTCACAGAGATCAGTCTGCCTCTGCCTCCCATGTGCCAGGATTAAAGGTTTGCGCCACCACTGCTGCTTCTGCCACCACCCAGCACCCGGAAATTTTTTTATCTGAGTTTTTTTGTTTGGTTTGGTTTTGGTTTTTTTTCAGTGTATGGTATACATTCATGTGTTTATACATGTTCTCATGTGTATGGGTGTGTGTGTATGCTTGTGCCTGTGGAGACCAGGGGATAAGTATCCTTTTTGATTGTTCTCCTTTTCCATGGGAGGCATGGTTTCTAATTTAAGCCTGGAGTTTGGTTTTTTTGGCTAGACTAGTTAGCCCACTTGTTCTGTGGATCCCATCAGCTTTCCAAGAGCTAGGATTCCTAGCTGGCTACCATGCTTGCCTGGCATTTATGTAAGTCTGGAAATATGAAATGAGATCTTCATGCTTACACAGCAAATGCTTTACCCACTGAACCTCCTCCCTGGCCCCCTAACTTGGGTTTTGTACATGAGCATTTTCTTAGAATATGTTATGTTGAGAGACTGATTTGCAGCTCAGATCAGAGGCACATGAGATCTGGTGGGAGAGAGAGAACTGAGCTGCACTCTTCAGAAGAGGACTTTTGGAGGGAAATTCTTGTCAGAGGCATCACCCATGAGATCTGAGGATAGCCTGTAGGATATAACCAAGGAATTTGGTATCGGGGCAAATTTTATTAGTTATAATAGGCAAGGAGTTTGTCAAACATGATGACTTTAAGAACTGACCACTGAAGTTTTTCTCTTTGCAGACACATTTCTAAACACTTTCCACATTCTACATGCTATCTTGCTAATTCCTTACCTCCATGTGAGATAGGCACTGTGATGATTTCCATGGAGTTGATTTCAGAGGGTACTGTCTCCCACCTCTCTCCTTGCATTCTCTCAGCCAGAACTGCTCAGGAGACACAGAGTGACAGCAATTGTAGAGAGTTGGAAATGACTAATTATCCCTTTACTATGCTTTATTTCTATCCCAGGTCAAAAAGCACTTAAAGCATTGTTAAGGTCATTGGTGGATCTTCAGGAAGAATTGCTTTTCCAGTGCCCAGACACTAGATACCTAGTAAATGGGACAAAACCCAAAACAGAAAGGTAAGGAGGAGGCAGAACCATGGGCTTGCTTATTTTCTTCTCATCTGAACAGATTCCTATCCTGTATGAAAAAGAAAGGTCTGTCCTTCCCATACAGACAGAGACATGATAATAGTTAAAATAAAGCTGCTTTTGTATTTAACTGGTCGTCAGAACAGGACAACAGGGATTAGACCACTTGTTCTAGCTGTTGGACTTGCTTATCTTTGTAGCCTCAGGCAAATTACTTGCCTTCTCTTTCATTTTATAATAATTAGTAGATTGCAATCATGTTTTGAATATTAATGCTTAATTAATGTTAATGAAATACTTCGTGGCATACCATGGGTTCAGTCACAACCACCTCCTTGAGCAATTTCTATATATTGGGACCAGTAGTACAGTGAGTGCAGTTGCCTAAGAAGGTGGAGGTTGTGGTATATTTATTCTCTTAGTGGGTTTCATGACATGTGTAGTCCCTCTGAATCCAAGGGGGAATGACTCTGGAACCTTTCGTGGATACCCACATCTGCAGATGTTTGAGTCCTGTAACATCCTTTTCTGAACATTGTAGCATTTCTGAATTGCTAGAACACCATATACACAGTATAAATACTAGGGAGAAAATTGATTAGTGAATAATGCACGCATTTGGAATAGCTGGGAACTTCTGCTGTGTTTGAGCTGCACTGCTTTCCATGTTAGTGCCAATGTGGGTGCCTACCCCTTGCAGTTTTCTTCACGTTCAATTTCTTTTCATTTGGTTCAATTGATATTATTCACCTCTCCTTAACAGTTGGTTATGGAAATATGTTTCTTTTATTGATTTTGGGATTTAAGGTCACAGAAATATGAGTATATGCTTAATCTTTAAAGTTTTAAAGTTTCTTCTGTAACAGTATGTTCCTGCTTCATACATACTTTAAACAATGTTTTTACAACCTCATTTCTTTTTATAGTTGCTTACCATTAAAAAGTTAGACCCAGGTACTTCTGATATTTATTTTAAAATTTCCATGAATCTTTGATTGTCCTTATGAACTTTAAAAAAAAATTTAATCCTTATTTTATGTGTATAGGTATTTTGACTGCACATACGTCTGCACCATGTCTAAGTAGTGCCCGCAGAGGCCAGAAGAGGGTTTAAGATTCCCTGGGACTGGAATTACAGGCATTTGTGAGCCTGTAGATGCTGGGAATCAAACTCAGGTCCTCTGGAAGGGCAATCAGTGCTCTTAACCGTTGAGCCATCTCTCTATCACTGTGAACATTCTTTTCAAACAAAAGCCATCCTCGTTTTTCTGGTATTATATAGTTATAATGGGTAGGGTCTAAATACTTTATGTGAAACTAATCTGTTATTATTTAAGTAATGTTTACATTGTACTTAATGTTCTTACTGGTTTTTTAGTGAGGAGATTTCTAGTGATGATGATGAACTAGTGGAAGAGAAGAAGAAGCAAAGAAAGGCCCCACCAAAGAGGAAGCTACAGATGGAGGACTATCCCAGCTTCATGGCAAAGCGCTCTGCCGACTTTACCATCTACAGGAACCGCACACTGCAGAAGTGGCACGATAAAACCAAGCTTGCTTCTGGAAAATTGGGCAAGGTGCATACATGCGCATGTGCGCACATGTTTGCGTGTATAAGATAGGTTATGGCAACTGAAGCATTTGTAAGAAATGAGAGCTATAGCTTATTTTGGCCATGTAATAGTAAACAGTATTTCTGTTCTCAGATTAACTGAACTACTTCTATTAGTTTCTACCATTTGATTTTAACTTTATTAAAATGTTTTATTCTGGAAAAAGCATTTTTCAGGTGCTGAAACTATGAAATACTTTAATTAGAAGATTTGAAAACATTAAAGGTGCAGAAGAAAGTGATAACTGCTTAAGACTTAAGATTTTTCTGAGAACAGTTATAGCTGCTGAGTTACTCAGCTTTTAACAGCAGGCCCTCCTGTAAAGAAAACTTTCTTTGCACTGACTGCATTATCTGGCACTGGTTGATGTTGCAGGGTTTCAGTGCCTTTGACCGCTCCATCTTGACTCAGATTGATCACATTCTGATGGACAAAGAAAGATTACTTCGAAGGACACAAACCAAGCGTTCTGTCTACCGGATTCTTGGCAAACCTGAGCCAGCTCCTGAGCCTGTCGCAGAGAGTTTACCAGGAGAACCGGTAAGAACTCTGGGACACGTGTGCTTATGGGAACAGTCTCTGGGAGGCTAGTTAAATGAAGAGCTTGCGGAATTATTGTGAGAAGTTGGTGAGGTAAAAGAAACAGCACTGCTTTGCTGGATTGTTAGCATGAGGCTTTATAAACACATGTCACATCTCTTCATTTTGCATTTGATATAGGAGTTTGTTGGGATATGTTTAAAATCCAGTTTTTAAGACTGAGGGGGATTTGGTTGTTTTTGGTTGTTTCTGTGATATGTAGCTTGAACACAGGGCACATGCTGTGCAAATTCTTTACCTCTTCTGACCTATACCCCAAGCCTTAAGATTTAGTTTCAAAGCTACTGTGTAGAAATGGCAGCTTAAGGTTTGCCTTTGGGTACTCTAGAGAGGATCTGAAAGTAGAATATTAAAATTTTTTGTTTGTTTGTTTAAAAGGAAATATTTTTATTTTGGGTTGTTTTGGGAGGAGAATATTTCTGAGACAGAGTTTTTTCTATATAGTTCTGTCTGTCCTGGAACTCATTATATAAGCCAGGCTGCCTCGAGCTCACAGACACCCACTTGTATCTGCCTTCCAAGTACTTTAGTTCAAAGGAATTAAAGGCATATGCTTACAACCCCTGGCTTTTTTTTTTTTTTATGTGTGTATTTTTTTTGCTTATTAATGTGTATATTGCCTCCATGTATGGTTGTGTACACACTGTGCGCATCCAGTGCCTGTGGAGGTCAGAAGAGGCTATTGCATCCTCTGGAACTGGAGTTACAGATGGTTGTTAGCAATCATACGGGTGCTGGGAACTGAACCTGGCCCTGGAACAAGTGTTCATAACTGCTGAGCCACCTCTCAAGCCCCTATATTTTACTTTCATAATTTGTGGTTTTTTATATTCATAGATCTTTTTAAAAAATGTTAGAATTATGTCACTTTTCTCCTTCCCTTTCCTCCTTCCAGCCTTCCCATACCCCACAACTCTCAAATTGATAGCCTCTTTTTCTTTGATTATTATTGTGACATAACATATATGTATGTATATGTATATGCAAATATCTAAACAACCTGCTGAAGTCTTTGTTGTTGTTGAATGTATGGTTTCAGGGCTGTCTACTGCATGTTGCATAATCAGCCCGGGAGAGGCTGATCTTCCTCTCCTACAAGTCACTTATCTATAAGGAGGAGGACCTTGGATATTTCCCCTCCCGTGTTACACATTTTTTTATTTTTTAATTACAGAGAGATTTAGTTAATGCTTTTTAATTTAATAAAATTTTAAGTTGAAATGAAATTTTTTCTACTCTAAAAATTTCAATCATGATATTGTTGCAACAAGCTTTATTCTTATGACATATATAACCTACATGAATGCTTTTTTCCTTTTTAAATTATTTCTTAAATATTTTTAATAATGTGTGTGTGTATATGCATGATATATGTGGCTATGTGCACATGAGTGCAGGCCAGTGGGTCCTCTGAAGCTGGAGTTAATAGATAATTGTGAACAGCCTGATGTATGTGCTAGGAATGAAACTCCAGTCCTCTAGAAGAGCAATACATACTCTTAACCACCAAGCCATGAGAGACCAGCCCCCCCCCTTTTAAATCATTAAAAAGATTTTTTTTCACAGTTTTTATTACACACACACAACCCCCCAACATGACAGGCATTCTTATAATATTCTTTCCCATTATTCTCTCTTATCCTCTTCCCTTTCCCACTAAACTCTTTCTTCTTCCCAGACGGTCTCTTCCTACATTCATGTCTTTTCTATTTGTGGCTCACTGCTATGAATTAGTATTGCCTACGTGAGCATGGGTGGAAGATTATTTACTTGAACAAGGACAATTTATCACTGAAGAATATGGCTTTTTTGCCTTGAGCAGCCTATAGCACCTCAGGTTTTTTTTGTTTTTTGTTTGTTTGTTTTAATTAAGTCAATTAGGTGTATGTGCATCTATATAAATATGTAAAATGCCACTATACTTAAAAACATTACAACTTTTACAATATACTATATTCTTGATACTTTAGCATGAAAATATACCTTATTTGTTTTCAGTGTGTAAAGAATTCCACTGTAATTGTTTGCACAAGGAATACTACTCAGCTATTAAAAACAAGGAAATCATGAAATTTGCAGACAAATGTTTGTATCTAGAAGACATCATCCTGAGTGAGGCAGAAAGACACATATGCTTTATACTCACTTATAAGTGGATATTAGACATATAACATAGGATAAGCATACTAAAATCAGTGTTCTTAAAGAAGCTAAGCAAGAAGGACTCTGGGGAAGAAGCTCAATCCTCATTCAGAAGGGCAAATGGGATAGACGTCGGAAGCAGGAGAAGACAGAACACGACAGGAGCCTACCACAGAGGGCCTCTGAAAAACTGTACTGATCAGTGTATTGAAGCAGATGCTGAGACTTATAGCCAAACTTTGGGCAGACTACAGGGGATCTTATGGAAGAAGGGGAAGATAGAAAGACGAGGGGGGGATAGGAGCGCCACAAGGAGAGCAACAGCCAAAAAATCTGGGCTCAGGGGTTCTGCAAAGGCCAACCAAGGACCATGCGTGGAGAGGACCTAATAACCCTGCTCAGTCTCCAAGTGGGTGCCCTAGTAATGGGAACAGGGACCGTCTCTGACATGAACTCAGTGATTGGCTCTTTGATCACCTCCCCTTCATGGGGGAGCAGCCTTGCCAGGCCAGAGGAAGACAGTGCAGCCACTCCTGATGAGATCTGATAGGCTAGGGTCAGATAGAAGGGGAAGCAGAACCTCCCCTATCAATGGACTAGGGGAGGGGCATAGGAGAGTGAGGGGGGATTGGGAGGAGAAGAGGGAGGGGCTAGAGCCAGGATACAAAGTGAATAATTGTAATAAATAACAATAAAAAAAGGAAGAAAGAAAAAGAATTCCATTGTAGGGGCTGGATAGATGGCTCAGAGGTTAAGAGGACTGTGCTCTTCTAAAGGTCCTAAGTTCAGTTCCCAGCAACCATGTGGCGGCTCACAACCATCTAAAATGAGATCTGGTGCCCTCTTCTGGCGTGCAGGTGTACATGCAGAGAGAACATTGTATACATAATAAATAAATCTTAAAAAAAAAAAAAGGATTTCATTGTATGGTGATCTGTTATAGCGGGAGGCAGAGGCAGGCTGATCTCTTTGATTTGAGGCCAGCCTGGTCTGGTCTACAGAGCGAGTTCTAGGACAAGCGGGAACACACAAAAAAACTCTGGGGTAAAAAAAAAAAAAAAAAAGCCAGTAAGAATTCCATTGTATGACTATAAGCTATAATTTAGTCAGACTTGGTGTTTCTATTGTTTCCAGTTGCAAACAAATTATAGGAAACATTTCTAAATTTTTCTGTTTGTGCGAATATATGGATGAATTTTTAAAAGTGAAAATGTTAAAGAAAATACATTAAATCCTGATAGATGTTGCCAAATTACTTCCCAAAAGACTCATATTAATTTTTAGTCCCTCTGTTTTCTGAGTCCTGGGTATTTCCAATCTGAGAGGTGAAAATTTTCCTCATTTGAATTTGTGTGTATATTTTGATAGAGTGAGATTATATTATTTTAAATTATATAATATATATTATATTTATATGTATAATATATTTTATATTATATATAATATATTATTGTTATATATATATATATCTTTATTATTATTATTTAAGATTTTAAGAGTTCTTAGCTGAGCTTGATAGTCCACACCTTTAATCCCAACACTTGCTGTGTTCAAGGCCAGCCTGGTCTATAGAAAGAGTTCCAGGACAGCCAAGACTACATAGAGAAAGTTTGTCCCCCAAAAACAACCAAACAAATACATAAATGGGTAAATCAGTAAATTTTAAGAGCTCTTTATTACTTAAGGAAAAAGTGCTTTGCCCTTTAGGCACGGTACATCGAGCAGCTAGATTGATTTGACAGACTTACTGGGATTCATGTTCTTTTGCTCCCCATTGACATAGGAGATTCTTCCTCAAGTCCCTGCCAATGCTCACCTGAAGGATTTGGATGAAGAAATATTTGATGATGATGACTTTTACCACCAGGTATGAATTTTACACATTCTTTTGTTACAGCAAGCCTAGTTTTTGCATTTTAAAACTACTAATTCATTCTCTGAATAAAAGGGAGGTTATTTGGAGCCAACAAGAAGTCAGAACTCCTCTACCCGGATAAGCCTTGAACTTGCAGTTCTTCCCTTCTACTTGTGTGCTGAGTGAGATGCAGGGTGTGCCACCTCTCTCTCGTCCTGTCTTCTCTCTTCAGGAGAGTTCCCACAATTCTTTTCCTAACATTATTTGCTTCATGCCACTTTTTTTTTATAACCCTGGTGCATATTGTTTAGATGGACTAAATGTTTAAGGTATACTGAAGGGCCACGGTGACTTTCTGTGTTTCTGAATCTCTTGATGTTATATCATTAATGAAGTATGCTTTCTTGCCCGGTGGACAGTTGAGGCTGCTGCTCATCAGTGTCGCCCTGGGTTTGCGGAGCCATAGCTTGTCAATATAACACATTACTCTGTTGGGTTTTTAATTAGTTTTTGCCACAGAGTTTGCAATAGCTTGTTTAGGTTTAGTCATAATAGATGTACTTTGCATATGAATATGAAGTAAGAAATCTCTTAGGACAGTTGTGGTAAGACAAGAACAGGTGATCTGTTTTGGAAGTGCCTCTTCTAAATTTGCCATGTTAAAGAGAGACTTATATTAATATTTTTATTTATTTTAAGTGTTATTTGTGTATCTGTATATATGTGTACACTTACAGTGTGCATGCGTTCAGAAGAGGGTGTTGGATCCTATGGAACTGGAATTACAGGTGGTTGTGAATTGCCTAATGTAGGTGCTGCGAATCAAACCCCGGTCTGCTGCAAACGCAGCAGATGCTCTTAACCTGCTGAGCCTTCTCTCCAAAGCCATCATTTTTTAACATTTGATAAAAATTAATTGCTATAAGTGATTAAAGTATATTAAGGGTAAGGGAGAGAGTATTGGCCTCAGCTGCTCCAGTCAGGGGTCTTGCGTCTTTTTTTTTCTCCTCTTTTTAAACCCATTTGTCAGGACAGGGAACATTCAGGAAGGTCTAAAGATGTGCTTGATACAGGATATTAATGCTGTCTAGTTGTGTGAGATCATGGGAGACAATAAAAAATGTTCTAGTTCTCATTAATTGAAGTATACATTGTTGGAATAAAAGTGCATTGTAAGTTAAATAGACTGAAGGTAAACTGAAATTGCTGGTGAGAGGCTGATTCCACTGGCAAGACCATGGAGCCTTGAAGATTTTCCTTCCTTATTTTTTTGTCTTCCTTTATTATTTGTTTATTTTAATTCTGAAGGTTTGTTTAAGAAATAGCATTACTTGATTGGTCCTTCATCCCAATTAATAATTTTAACTTCAGTAAATTCTGATTTCAGAGTTATGACTACTCACATCTTAGCTTTTCCCCTTGCTGGTTAATTGGGGTGCTGAGGTTAATCTAAATTAAAACTTAAACTAATAGAGGTCAGTAAGGCAGCTGAAACACCTGAGTGAAACAAATGGGCCTGCCAGGCACAACTTTATCTTGGCTGTTTCCCAAGAGGGAAGTGGCAGCAAATTGGAGTTGTTTCAGCCTTCTGTAAAGGTGAATGATGGGTGACACTTGTTAATGTACAGCGTCTCCGGAAGCATTCCAGATTGCTTGCTTCTGTACCAACTGCTGCCGTCCTTGCACACTTGGTAGGAACTGGACCAGTTGCCAACATCTGGTGGCACAGCGAGGCACGGGTGCAAGTCTTGAAACCCCACAGATTCTAAATATGGTGCTTAGAACTGTGCAAGCTTTAATCACTTACCACTCCTTGGCAGCAGGCTACAACAGCTTATCCTAGCCTCGTACATCACATTCTGACATCTGCTGAGCTGCAAGGCAGCTGCACATTCATTTTCTCTTCTTGCCTTTCCTCATTGCTTCTTATTCTCTTCTACTCACCCCTTTACTCCCCCATCTCCTCCCTTCAGTTTTCCTCCCCCTCCCCAATATGCTGCCTGGAGGAGATGATCTGTAAAGATTACTGCTTCATTGTGTGCAAGTAATTGTGGTGATGCCAGGCCCTTGACAGACACAGCGTAGCACCTGTTCTGCTGACCTGGTTAATTTCTTCTGTTGAGTGGGATTTGCCAGAGATTGGAACTGAAGCCAATTTAATTGGGAGGTGACAGAAAACATACAGCCATTTTCTTTAGCCTTATCATTGAATTGGCTTCATAAAGTGCTTTTCTTATTTGTCAGGGTAGTGAGCCTGAGCTAAGTGTTGCATTCAGAAGGGGTACAATGTGTTACAATAGGCCTATGAGTTTCTTTTATTTTTTTTTCTTTTGTCTTTTAAAAATATGATCATGTGGATGAGGTAGACGGTGAATATAATACATTTCACACACACGCACCCCTTTTTAAACATACTTGAGGCTAAACTCTTTGGGTCCATGTTTTGTAAGGAAGAGATTATAGCCACATTGAATTTTAATGTTCCATTGTAAGGGTTTAAAGGCTTACTTGGTTAATTCAGGTATTATGAGGCTGTGTAAATGCCCTAAGTACTAAGAGTGATGTGTAGGGTCAGAGCCCCCCCCACCTGCTCACATACATTCATTTTCATTCCCATTCTTTGTTTCTTAATGGTCCTTAAACTTTAAAAGCATGCCTACTTTACTTAATCATAGGACAGGTACATACACACACGTATGTATGTACATAAACATGCATATTTATACATATAAAAATGAGGGATCTAAGGGGTATTACAAATCTCACCTGCCCGTCCATCCATCCCAGACAGAGATATAGTTAGTCCTGCCTGTCCTGAGTTCGCTATGTAGACCAGGCTGGCATAGAACTCACAGAGATCCTCTTTTCTCTTTCTCCTGGGTGCTACAATTAAAAGATGTGCTCCATCATGCTGGCTTAATTTTTTTTTTTAAATTATCATATTTATATTAATTGTTTTTCAGTGTTGCTGTGATAGAACATTATGACTAAAATCAAACTTATAGAAGAAACAGTTTATTTGGGTTTCTGGTTCCAGAGAATCCATTATAGCAAGGACAGCATGTCAGCAGGTAGGCAGAGAAGGAAGCTGAGAGATCACATCCTCAATTGCAAGCATAGAACAGAGCAAACTAGAAATACTACAAGGCTATATACTTTCAAAGCCCTCCCTCCGTGATGCACTTTTCTAGCAAAACTGCATCCGAAATCTTCCAAACAGTAACACCAAGTGAGAACCAAATGCTTAAATTTTAAGCTCAAGTCTGTGAGGGAACTACCACAATACTAATTTATTCTATTAAGTGGGGGTGTACCTGTGCATGTCTGTGTACTTGCGTACCACAGCATATATATGGACAACTTTCAGGAGTCAGTTCTCTTCACTTCGTGAGTCCTAGGGGTTTGAACTCAGGTGGTCAGGTTTGGCAGCAAGTCTCCTTACCTAATACCCAACCATGTCACTGGCCTTTTTTTTTGGAGGCACAGTCTTACTATGTAGCCCAGGCTGGCCTGGAACTCTCAGTCTCCTACCTCAGCCTCCCCCGTGTTTGGATGATAATTTAATTCTACAAATTTAAATTTCTATAGCATTTGTTTGTTTTGTACCTGTGTGTGGGTATGGAGTGTATGTATATGCATGGTGCGCATGTGGACTGACAACTCACAGGAGTCAGTTTTCCCTTTTCTTCCTTCCCTCCCCCATCCTCTCCAGGATGAAATGCAGATCATTAGGCTTGGCTTGCACCTTTACTTTCTGGGCCACCATGCCAACCTAATCCTATCATTTAAAAATTTCTCCTTATTACATTCATCATCCATTCAGTTACTTACTTATTTATTTGCCCCTTCCCCTTTTAGTTTGGTCTTTGGTTTTTCAAGACAGGGTTTCTCTGTGTAGCTCTGGCTGTTCTGGAGTCACTTTGTAGACTAGATTGGCCTTGAACTAACAGAGATCCTCCTGCCTCCGCTCCTGAGTGCTGGGATTGCAGGCGTGTGCCAGCACCGCCTGGCTATTGACGTACTTATTTATCTGTGTGTCAGCTATTTACTTACTTATTTACTTATCTGTACCTGCATGTATACCCGTAGGTGGGTGGGTATATGTTTGTACATGTGAACTCAGGTTGTTGGGCTTGGTGGCAAGCACTCAGCCATGTTGCCAGCTCCCCAGTCTTAGTTTTAGAGCTGAAAGACTTAAAAGAAGTAGAGTTTAAAAAGCTAAGTAACCTCCTTTAAAAAAAAAAATATGACACCACAAATAGCAACATTAGCCTCAATCTCCAGGCTGCCTAGACCAAATTTTGTTCTTTCTATGTACTTTTATTTCTTAAATATTTCATTCTTGAGCCATAAAAAAATTATAGCTTTACAGTTTTCAGTTTGTAAATAAATAAGCTTCATTTTTTTTTTTTTTTTTGTTTAGGACTGGAAGAAATATGTTGTTAGAAAGTAATTTTTTTTCTTTAGAAGGCAAATGATTTATTGAACTCCTGTTACTTAACAATTCTAATGAAAAAATTAACTGTATAGTTTTGATACTGGTTTGTGTGGAAGCTGCATTGCTGAAGGCATAATGTAGCCGGCATGAGGGCTGTATTTCTGAAAGGCCTATCACCTGCAGAAAGACAGGGTAAGTTCTCACTTTTGAATGGAATTGGTTTGCATGTGGTCTGCCCTCTGTCAAAGCTCATTCCTAAAGACAATTTCACAAAACATTAAGTGAGCATGAAGGATGGTCATTCAGAAATGTTTTAAGTACCTATTTTTCATTTTCATGATTCCATCTGCTACTACTATGACATTTTTCAAAAGATGGGTTATCTATATCACCATCACTTAAGGATTTTATTTTGTTTGCTTTTTAAAAAGCAGGTAGTTTTTTTTCTTGGTAAACCTGACCTCTTAATAATTTAGGAGCAAATATTCTTTGAGCACAGGCTATGTACCAGCCACATAGACTAAGTAGATAGGTAGTCGACAGACATCCTTATTTAATCCTCATAAAATCTGGTGTGGTATTATTGCCCTTAAAAGTAGGTAATATAAAATGGCCAGGCTTTTCATATCCCAGACATCAGACTAGTTTTTTATCACCTCAGGAGTTATTTTGTTCAGAAAGCCCTAATTGAACTTAGATGTTGACAAATCAATGTTTGCATTCCTAAGGGCTTATTAGAATTTTGTATGTGGTTCCAACTCTGTTTAGTTTTGATCTGGTTTGTCTTGTCACTTTGAATCCTGCCAGGAGTATCTAGAGAAAGTTAGTAGGCTTTGCTTTTTTGGTGACCCCTTTAATGGGTTAAATTTCTACTTTTATTTGGCATCAGGACATGTCTAGTACTGACCTTGCTACATGCTAGACCTCTGTATCCAAGATATTTGATAAACAAGTAATTAGTAATTTGGTGAACTATTAAAAGTTGATGGTGTTGAGAAGTAGAGAAGCGGCAGGCTGTCTGACAAGATGGTTTTCTTTAATTAACTCGGTGAGTGATTAATATGGACAGTTGATGCAGTGGCTCTAATTGTATGCATTTAAATGGAAGTGAGAATAAGTGGTGTCTCAAGCCGTCACTGCAGTTAGTGGCAGTACAATGTTCTCACTGTTGGCATGTAACTTCCCAGTGGCCCAGTAATGCTTATTAACATGTTAGGAAGTCAGATACGAATCTCTTCTTGCTCATGCCAATATATTACTGGAAAATAGATGACTTTTACAAGGGCCATCTTTTGTTTTTAATTTTATTTTTAAATGTTTATATTTGGGATCCAGATAGTGTTTCTTCTTAAAAGTCTAGTGAAATTTATTGTACATAGACAATAGTGGTGATTTTAGAGAGAAAACATACATATAAATAAATTTGAAAATTGGTATTATGGCTGAAGATGGAGCAAAGATGTAACCATTTTGGGTTTTGTGGACTTAGTAATGATGTTCTAAAAAGCTAATTAGCAATGTCTAATTAAATTCTGAGAATCACAAGATTACTTTATATCCCATGTATAAGATTTTTATTTGAGATACTGACTCTTTAGACACTTGGCATTGATAATGCTGCTGTTATTATTGGCAGTATTGAGACCCAAGTATGACATCAGCAGCCGCGTTTGGTCACTAGCTTGAGATCATTATCATGGAAGGTACTATAGAACAGAAGGACAAAGGCAATTTTTACTGACTTCAGTTTTATTTCGTTTAAAAAAAAAAGTTTCATATAGCCCAGGCTGGCCTTGATTCTACTGCCTTTACCATCCAAGTACAAGGATTACAGGGCTCTGCCACTACATCCGGCAAAGCCATGTTTTAAATACAGGGTCCAGAAGTTTCATCAAACCACAGCATCAAAAAAAGGTACATGACTAGGCCTGTGACAGGGCCTTACTATGTTGCCTTGGCTGGCCTGGAATTTTCTCTGTATACCAAGTTGGCCTTGAGCTCACAGAGATCCTTCTGCTTGGGCCTCCCAAGCTCTAGAATTAATGGAGTACATCACCATACCTAGCCCCTTCATTTCCTTTGGTTCTTTGTTTTTAAAAGTATCAGTGCCTTACATGCCACTGACAAAGCTTTGAGTAGTGCTGTTTATTGGGCTAAACAGGAAAGAAGTGGGGTTGGCTTAGAACTATTGAAGAAACTTTCTTAAGCATGAATGGTACCATGAACGTTTACTTGGCAAATGTATGGCCAGAATTGCCCTGTGTGTGTGTGTGTGTGTGTGTGTGTGTGTGTAATATATAATATATAATATATAATATATAATATATAATA